GTGATTGCAAACATTGGGAAGTCATGCAGCAAATCCTTTTTTAACAGTGTTGACCATTGTAAATGGCTCGTGGAAAAGGCCGATATGCCGAGAATACCAGATGGGTGTAGCCAGACTGAACAGTGGCATCAGCTGAGCGCAGTCAAGCCTGTGCTGAGATACGTTGTATAGGAAGGAGATGTCAGACTGAGCAAAGCGTGCCTTAATAGATGCTGTTTTGAAGAAAGCGAGAAGATTCTCATAATTCAGTGGAGGACACCGGGACTGGCTGCTCTAACCCAACTACATGAGAAACCGGTGTTGTAGTCTTTCGAACCAGGCGCGATGGGAAAAGGCAGCACCGCTCCAAATAACGCTACCGTACTCCAGCAATGATCTCACATGAGCGTTGAAGGCACAAAGCAAAAACCTTGTGATTGAACCGCGCCTGACGAGGGCACGACGGCATTTGCACGCTTCGCATGAGAAGACCCAGCGTCCTGTTTGCTTTTGGGACAGTTGAATCTTTGTGATTGGCAAAGGTGAGTTTAGTGTCCAGAAAGACGACAAGATCGCAAATCTGTTGGCAGCTATGCAGGCGGTGACCGTCTAGTGCGTATGAGTAGTGAACAGATGACGCGCAGAGGGTGAATGAGATGGTGTTGCATTTAGATGGGTTCAGTTTCAGTCCCCAGTTTTTGGACCATTCACAGAGGCGATCCTAATCCGCCTGAAGTGTAAGACAATCTGCTACGTTGTCGATTCGGTGATAAATTTTCACATCATCAGCGCACATAAGGCACTCACACTCAATTTGGTCAGGAACATCAGCCGGAAAGCAGGCGAACAGCAACGGTCTCAGGATGCTGCCTTGTGGGACACCAGATCGCACTGAAATCCGGTCAGACTACTTGCCATTCAGCACTACGCGTTGTGAACGATTGCTCAAGTACGACTCCAGCCAGCTGCACGCAGGGCCAGTGATGCGAAAAGAATAGCGGGGCTTGTGTAGCAGAAGAAGGTGATGAACGCTGGTGAATGCTGAAGAGTAATGGATGTAAATTGCATCTGTTTGTTTACTTTTTGAGATAGATGTTCAGCAGTGTTTAAGAAAACATGAAAGGTTTGTGATGCAAGAGCGCTTTGGAAGGAATTCGTTCTGGGATAAGGGAAAGGTGGGCAGACAAACCTGCAACAGGCTTTCGCCCACAATTTTCTCCAATATCTTTGAGCAGATAGGAAGCAAAGACACAGGCCTCTAGTTACAAGGCAGCTTTCTGGACCCCTTCCTGTGCACGAGTATCACATTTGCTTGCTTTCATATGGCGGGGAAGACGCCAGAGTTTAGAGAAAGCTTGAATATTATTTCTAACGGAAGAGCTAGCTCCTCGGCGCATTCTCTGAGGACTCGGGCACTGAGCCCGTCGGAACCGCAGCACTTGTGTGCACTGAGATCGCGTAACGAGTGTGCTACACGGCCACGTGGTACGGCAAAGCTGTCTAATCCAGGCGCACCGAGCAAAGGTGGGTCAGGCAATATACGAACGTCAGGGTAGCAGAACTTAGGAGCAAAACACATATTCAGATAGTTGGCACGTTCCTCATCACCCTTGTGTACATTGCCATCACACTTAAGAACGAGAGATATATGCGCTGATGATTTCAAGGACTTAACAAAGGACCAATCGCGTTTCGGGTTGTGCTTAAAGTCTCGCACTAGGCCCAACAAATGCTCGGAACATTTCGCATCATCTGCTGTTTTGAAATCGGCTCTATCAGATACGGTGCCCAGCAATATTTTCGGCGGTCGGAAGTCCTTTCTTACGTCTGTGAGCCATCTTGTTGTCACGCAGCAAGTTTCGAACGGACCGGACAAACCATGGAGGAAATTTCTTTCGGAGCTCAACAACAGGTATGAAGTCTGCAGTGGCGGCGAATACAAGATCATAGAGCAGGCGGACAGCATCATCAACACTTAAATTATTTAGAATACGCCAAGGAATAAGTCTGAGAGCAGTGCGCAGGCCGTTGAAGTCTGCTTGTTTGTAATTGTAAGCCTTAGGTCGGGGAGGGCGAGGGGCCAGCTCGCATTTTACAGAAAGCTGAGTCGTCACCATACAGTGGTCTAAGTTGAAAATACCGTCGCCGACCTTGGGTACAGCAGCTCCGCCGTAGGAGATGGCGAGGTTCAGGATATTCTCCCCGCTCGTTGGTGACGTTACAGATTGCACCGCTTCACGCTCAAGAACAGAGTCTAGGAATTTGACGGCTCTGACGGTGCACGTGAGTAGCATAGCTTCGTCGCCATCAACCTGCCACCAAATCTCAGACAAATTAAAGTCGCCCAGGATGAAAAACAGTAGATTGGCGGAGCGGACGCTCTGGGATAAGGCAGCGATCGAATTCACGTCACGGTCAGCATCTGGTGGACGGTAGCAGACAGCCATGATGAGAGAGTAGATGGCCCCCAACTGGATCGCCAGCACCTCGCAGTCGGGCTCCAGGTCTGTTCGGTGAGCAGGTGACAGGCTTGTCTCTCAGCCATGATGAGGGAGTAGATGGCCCCCAACTGGATCGCCAGCACCTCGCAGTCGGGCTCCAGGTCTGGTTGGTGAAGAGGTGACAGGCTTGTCTCTCAGCCATGATGAGGGAGTAGATGGCGCCCAACTGGATCGCCAGCACCTCGCAGTCGGGCTCCAGGTCTGTTCGGTGAGCAGGTGACAGGCTTGTCTCTCAGCCATGATGAGGGAGTAGATGGCCCCCAACTGGATCGCCAGCACCTCGCAGTCGGGCTCCAGGTCTGTTCGGTGAGCAGGTGACAGGCTTGTCTCTCAGCCATGATGAGGGAGTAGATGGCCCCCAACTGGATCGCCAGCACCTCGCAGTCGGGCTCCAGGCCTGGTCGGTGAAGAGGTGACGGGCTTGTCTTCACTACGCAAGTAACACCTTGTCCTCTGTCGTTCCTGTCCTTCCAGAACCAGACATGGTCCGAGAGGCCTAGCTGTGGCTCAGAGTCCAGCACATGTGATCCGAACCATGCCTCGGTCAGGCCGACAACATCAAAGCCAGCTAGCTGGCCACAATGAGAGCACAGAGTGCACAACTTGTTCTTCAAGCTGCAGACGTTCTGGCAAAACACTCGCAGCGTTATCAGCCTGTGTGCCGGCCCTCGGTTCACTTCTACATCTCCAGAGAGAAGGAAACTCACCGAAGCCAGCAGCACCAGGTAGGTTTTATGGGCTTGCGTCGATGCTGCAGAACAGACACTTTAAAAGTTACACACCCAGCATACCAGTGACGAATATATGACTACATATTACAGTTAGGTATAGCAATAAGGTTACATCAAGTTCAGTTTAATCGCCAACTTGTGCAGAGTCTAAACAAGTTGGTTAACATTTTTAAGGATCATAGATAAGACAGAAGTATTAGCCTTATTCCATGGAGGAAAACCAGGAGAATGGAGAAATAATTGGGTCGATATAGATATAGGCATCGAACGAGGAGATATAGGTATAGATATCGAACCCAACTATATCTCCATTCTCCTGTTTTTTTGTCGAGCAATAAGGCTAATACTACTGTCTATTCAATGTGAATAATGTTAGCACGTGCTGAATCATAATATGTACCATTTACGGATGGTATCGATCGTCGCTAACTGAGGTGAAGGGTGACTGGGGGGTTGGTTTGCTTATATTTCCATTTTTCCGTTGACGATGTTTTGATCGCGACAGCCTCCAGAACATAAAGTTCCCTCTTCGTTGATGATGGTGTTATGATGCTAGTGTTCCTGGTGAGGTCGTCTCGGTTGATGTTCCGGCCGTGTTCTTTTCGCATGTGCTCTTTTGGAGCACCGTCAGCCAAGCGCATCGTCAACGACCTTGAAAGTGTGATAAAACTAAAACCAAGGTAGTTTGATTTCTTTAGGAGCCTGCAATCTCCTATATCACAACGAAATTCCCAAAGAACGTTGGTTCGTTTCAAGGGGTCAGAGTTGGCTGTGTGGTTATTTTTCATGATGAGTTGGGTGACCTTCTTGTTTTTGTAGTAGATGGTGAGCGCTATCTTGTCGCCGTGGTTGACTGGCTTGACGTTTTCAGATATTATTTTCTTGAGAATACGCTCGTTTGTCTCATAACTATCGGACATTTTATTCTGATAGAATAGCTTGATTGGATTTCGTTTACGTTGATATGATATCATGGCGTCAGTTTTTGTCCGACATCGTGACATAAAGCTGCTGATCTCACGGTCAATGACACTGTTGGAGTAGCCAGTATTTACCAGAGCTTGTTTGATGTGCTGCAGTTCACAGTGTAATTGCGTCCAACCAGAATAGAGTTTAAAGGCTCTTCGGAGGTAGGAGCGCACTGCACTGATCTTGTAGCGCTCGGGGCATTCGTTTTCTACACTGAGGCTTCGCACGTGTGTTCTGACGGCTCTGTGCCTATTTGAATTGATCATGAGCCTGCCCTGACTTTCACTGCTGGGTATCTACCTAGCGTTTTGTAATATTGTTGTCACATCGGCTCACTTGCAACAAGACAATCACCACGATGAATGGTAGTTGTTAATTGGGAGTTTGCAATTTGCACGAAGCGTTGCACCTTTGGTACACCATCACCACGAATGCATAAACAAAGATAAGGGGCGAACATCAAATCTACCTTACACTCCAGGGGCATGAGCTTACAGCTGCTGGGCCAACAGCTTTCAATACAGCTGAACTTTCTTCTTATTCTTGTAAGACGCGTGATCTATTGCGGTTCATCCAACCATTACGTATCCATATCAAGGCACTACAGACAAAGTTGCACGGTTGCGTTTTCAAGGTACATCTCGTCACTATCAATCATCTTACGCTGACTGAATTCCCCAAAAGCACTGAGTTACGACGTCCTCGTGACGGCTTCTGCCGGTTCGCCGTGTCTCTATCGTGACTGGGGGGAGAGGGGCGGGGGAGGGGAAGCCGAGCTCCGCCCCAGCTGCACCGTTCAGCCGTCTGCACCGGTGTCGCCTCAGCTATCCGGGATCTGCAGCGCCTGGATGTCGTAGCTGCCGCCGATGTAGACGATCTCACCGTCCGGACTGGAGAACACCTGCACGCCGTTCTCGGCCTCGACGGCACGCCGCGTGTTCTCGACCAGCTCAGGCCAGGCCGGGGCCGGCCGGTCGGCAGGGTGCGCGGCGACCGGCGGCGCCGCCAGGAGGCGTACCTCATCCAGCCGGAAGGCGCGCCAGTGCGGCGCCGGCTGGCGCAGCAGCAGGCGCAGCCGCACCACATCGCGCCAGTCGACCAGGCTCTCCTTGCGACTGATGGTGACCCAGTCCTGACTGCCGGTCTCGTACAGCGGGTTCGGCATGATGGTGCGGTCGCGCACCGACAGCTGCCAGGCGCCGGGACGGGTCAGCCGTCCGCCGGCCGCCGCCGCCGCCGACTCCGACTCCACCTCTGCCGCCCGCTGCACCCACACCGACACTGTGTGCACATAGTAGTTGCGGAAGGTGATCTGGTGCAGCGGCTCGGTGGCCGCCAGGGTGACGTCCAGCGCGCGGCAGCCAGCCGCCACGCGCTCTGAGTCGTACACGGGCGCAGGCCGGTGCACGGTGCACGCAATTTGGCGCGGTAGCGCGTCGGCCGGCGGCACCCCGCACCGAGTGGGAGGCGCCATAAACCGGTCAGACCTGGGGCGGGCAGGGTCCTTCGCCGCCCGGTCAGACGGCGCCCTGGCGAGCAGCACGCTGGGCAATAAAGATGCACTCACTACAGGGGCGCCGACAGCCGTCACAAACCGGTCACGAGGTCGGCGATGCGCACGGCCGCCAGTAGTCTTCTGCTGACTGGGCGCAGCAGACGCAGCGCGCCGGCCGGCCCACAGTCGCTCTGTGTGATCGATACGCGGCCATAGAATAGCAATCAGCCGCGGCCAACACGTCAGCTGTCCAGCAACGCATCGAACACGCGGGAAGGTGACTAATTGTGTGGTATTTTGCATGCATACACACACACACACACATATATATATATATATATATATATATATATATATATATAGAGAGAGAGAGAGAGAGAGAGAGAGAGAGAGAGAGAGAGAGAGAGAGAGAGAGAGAGAGAGAGAGAGATATATATATATATATATATATATATATATATATATATATATACATTATTGTGTATGTGTGCGTGTCGGAAGCGGGTTACCTCTTAAACTTGTCTCGATGGAGATAACGGGCCTTGGCTCTCTCTTGGTCTTGGCTCTCTGGCTCTGGCGCCGGCTCTTGCTCTGGCTCTGGCTCTCGTTCTCGCTCTCTAACCTCGTCATTGGTATTACTGATGACGCACACATTACAACGGTGACGCGTGCGCGACCGTGATGGAATGTCGACGTCAATGGTTGCATTGTTTTCAAATCTCACTGGGTGCACGATAGGGCATATCGGTGGGTCATGTCAGGTATGTCTGAACGCGGACTTAAGCGTTTTGGATGACGCTGTTTCTTAACTTAAGAACAACATGGAATAACAGTAAGAGAATAACAATGACTTCGATAGAGCGTAAGCCATGATCGCTCTGAACCAACGGCTTCCGATTAGCCATATGACAACTGTTCCCCGAACTTCCAAGCCTCTTGGCTACGTCGATATTGATGCCTAACTCGGTCGGTTCGCTGATGGTCGTGTTAGAAGAAGGCCCTGGGCGTTAGAAATACGCTGGAACAAGCGCTAATATATAGCCACGAGCATGGCTATGAAATTACGTGGTGCATGCACGTGCTAACTTGCCACATGTCTTCAGCTGGTGACAAAAGAGCTTACCAAACTGCGGGACCCATTATGGTGAAAAATAGTAACGCCCGTGAATGGGAATGAAAAGCATGGCTGGGGCATGTGGCTTTTATGAAAGTTTATTAACAAGTAATGGAATGTGTCGTCATCTTAATTGTTAGCTAGCGCGACCACACGTGTCTTTATTTGATTTTCCACGATTCTGGGATGCCCCTAGTTGTCCCTACTGCATGCCATTGTTTAACTTTTGCAAGCATGCCACAACTGAACAAGTGTAACATTCGGTATTCGCCTTCATACCACCTTCCAAGATGCGTGACATGAACGCGCGCGTTGCGCATCAACATTGGAATGTCACCCGTGGGATTGGGCTCCTCATGCGTGTTGTGGTTTTCTTTTGTATTGCTATTGCTGTGAAATGTCAGTGACAATGGGAATTAGGAAATACTTTTGAAACCCTGCGTATTGTTTCAGCGTGGATGCACTTAGCCATTCCAGCATGTTTTCACGAGTACCGCTGTGGGCCTGGACGTCACATGTCGGCATTCTCGGTCCTCTGTTGCTCGTCCACCTCCAGTGCGGCGTTTTCGTGGCCCTTGCGGTCGCTCTCGGCGGGTCGGCGGCGCCAGGGGTTGTGCCAGAAACACTGCCAGAAGCGCTGCTCTCTGCCGAAGCGCTCGCCCTGCTCCAGCGTGTCGGGCAGCGGTCGGTTCACCGTCTCGGGCAGCGTGCTGAGCACGCTGGCGCCCAGCAGCGCGACGGCGGCGAGCACGAACGAGGGCAGACCACGGTCCAGCCGCGCCAGCTGCAGCACGGCCGGGCTGAACGCGGCGCTGAAATGGCCGGCCACGAACGCGGCGCCCACCGCGCGGCCGCGTACCACCGTCGGCACCAGCTCCATCTGCTGCTGTAAGAGCGTGTTGAAGGCGGTGGTGGCGCCGCAACGGCACAAGAAGGCGACGCAGGTAGAGGCGGCAGCGAGGTCTCCCAGTCGCAGGAGAGCGGCGAGCGTCAGCGCCAGGCCGCTGGTGGCCAGCAGCGAGCCGGTCATGGTCCAGCGGCGGCCGAGCGTCTCCAGCAGCAGCCAGGTCAGCAGGTCGGCCGGCGCCTCGGTCAGTCCCAGCACCGACTGCGCCGTGTACACGTCCACGTCCAGCTCGGTGCTGCGCGCGATCAGGTCAAACTGCAGCGCCACCAGCATTGTGCCGATGGTGAGCGTAAGCATGCGGCTGCGCAGGCGCGGCAAACGCAGCATGTCCAGCAGCGTCGGATGACTCTGAGTCAGCTCCCCCTCGTGACGCTGTTTGGCCGCAACTGTGAAGCTATCCCACGTGTCGTCCGGCACCTGCTTACCGTTTTCCAGCGCGATGTCGCGCATTTCTTGAACGGCGCGCTCGATCTGACCCACGTGCTGCAGCCAGCGACACGACTCGGGCACGTGAAAGACGTAGTACAGCAGCACGAACGACATGGGCAGCGACGAGGCCATCGTCAAATACGTCCAGTGGTACAGCAACTTGGCCAGCCACGGCAGCACCACCATGGCGCCGCACATGGACGTGGCCGGCGGCAGGTTCACCACCATGGCGCGGTAGCGCGGACCAACGAACTCGGACAGCAAAACGATGGCCTGTGTGCACTGCAGGTTGTTGCCCATGCCGAGGATGAAGCGCAGCATCGCGAACATGTGCAGCGAAGTAGAGAAGGCCGTGGCGAAGCCGGCCAAGCAGCAGGTGAGGTTGGCCAGCACCAGCGAAGGCAGTCGGCCGAACTTGTCGGCAACGTAGCTGAACACGATGGTGCCCACCATGGAGCCGGCGAAGAACATGGTGTACGCCAGCGTCGGCTTCCAGGCGCTGTCGCACACCCAGTCATTGTCGGACACGATGGTGGGGTAGATCTCGGAGAGTCGTAGCTCCAGCCGTGGCGGCAGGGCACGACGGCTGTCTCGTTGTCGGGCGCCCACGAGGCCGGGTCGACATCGGTGAAGTTGACGTCGTACATGTAGCAGCGCGAGTGGCGCATCACCCCACCGCGCTGCTCCAGCGGCGCCGTTAGGTTCCTGACGGCCAGGTCGCTCCAGCCGCGCGCCTGCAGCGCCGGCACGCGGCACCAGTGGTCAGGCTCCAGCACCAGCCAGATCTGACTGAAGTAGGTGAAGGCCAGGAACACGAACGGCGGCTGCATCAGCAGGAACAGCCGCCACTGGAAGCGGCCAAACGGGCCGACCAGGTCGATGAGCTCGTCGAAGTCGCCCTTGAAGCGCGGCGGCGCCGGCTCCTTGGCCGGCCGCCCCTCGCCCGTCTCGACGGTGAGCTCCATCGGCTGGTCCTGGCTCGGCCAGGCGGCCGCCGCAGCTCCCGATGTGAGGAGCAGCACCGCGCGCGGCACCTGCTGCCGCCAGTCTGCTGGCCCCTAGAAACGCGTGCGCTCCGCCGGTCGCTAACGCCCTGCGACGCTTGCTGCCCTGTCGCCCGGTTGTCATTGGATATGCGCAGTCATGGGAGCGGGACGTGCTTGACCGCCGTTGACGACAGGCACCAACGCGTATAATTTGACATTCTCCGACGGAGATTACATGCCGGTCAGTAGGCGTGCCTCTTCAGGTACAGTGTGCTGAAGTGATTTACGCGTGTATAGTGCGGACCACCTGAGGGTTTGAGCGCCGCCATCCGCTGGCACCGGCCCAGTGATACACCCTCGGTCACGTAGCACGCTTCTGCATCAGCCAGTCCAGCCTTCAGCCAGCCAGCCCGGCCAGCCAGCTCGGCCTTCAGCCAGTCAGTTTTATCCCGGGCTGGGTTAAAACCTGTCTTGTTAAAACCATTTGCTGACGGTCGTGGCGTTCCACTCACCCCGAATGTGTATTCTGATCGGCGACCCACTGCTTTGCTTCAATAATTCGTTGCTATCGTCTGCATTGCCCGCGTCATTACTGACACACTCACCGCAGCCTGACCCGGGTGCGTAATGGCTGCGGATGACGCACACCCACCACTAGGCGTGGCTTACTGCATGCGATACATTCCTCCGCCGAGGAAGGCAGGGCAGATGTGGTGAGCATGCGGCGCGTAGTGGCCAGGCATGACTCTTCCCACGGTTCATGCATAGGCGCGGAACAGATGTGTCCTCCAACCCCGCGAAGAACAAAGCTCTTACATTGTGCGTTTGTACATATATTTACACCAAAACACCGTTGAAACTCGCAAGGGGCAAAAATCGCTTTAGAGAAAACCTGTTGAGTGCCATGTTGCGCACTCGGACAGATCAAGACGGCGGGTATTTTACGAATGGAAAGGAGCCTATTCGGGCCACTGCCCCAGGTCTCTGATAACCGCGGAGCTTAATGTCGGCTGTGCATTTCGCGCAAGTCCGAAATACCTAGATAAATGTCTTTGCATGCTTAGATCAGCGGTTATGTAAACGGAATGTTTCCCAAAACCCGCCGGCATTAAGTGCGTAAGCTACTGCAATTACAAAATGCATGCAGTCGTTAATTTTACCCTGCACTTTGCGTCAACACATATTAATTCAGTGACCCTTCTTAGGTGGTCGAGATACGTGTTCATAGCGGCACGCAAACTACGCAACGCTCTTACATGTAGTATAATACTGCGTCTTGCCGTACAGTGTCACGCATATTGCTATCACTTTCACAATACATCAACTGACATATCTATCCTGCAGTCATTAAAGGTCTAGTCCACGGGGCCGATACTCCGCAGCGTGTCCGTTTGGGTGGGGCCGCGCGCCGCCTGCCGGCTCCGAGCGGCCGGCGAGGTCCCAAGTCCGGGCAGCGGCGGCGTGGCAGCCAGGCACCGCCGGCCGCAGCGGGGGCACGTCACTGCAGTCGCGTCCAGTACGGGGAGCTGACGTCCGTCATCTGGCCCGGCACGGCCAGAGGCACCGACACTCCAGGAGAGAACAGGCCTGAACGCACGGGGCAGACGTCAGGGACACGATACGACACGGAATGGAGCACGGACACGCCCTGGGACAACGGACGCGGGGACGGAGCATGGCCTATTGACACAAACAAGCTGCGTGCACACCGTTGCATGCTACCATGCCCCACATTGGGAGCGTAGCCAAAGAGTAAGGTCCATGGAGCGGAAAGTCCGGATCAGCGCGGAGGGTTCCAGTGCCACGAGTCCCTGCAGCAGGCTGACCGTCCCGGGGTACCGGCCACCACCCCCAGAGGGCCCTCCGTCACGCACTACTGGTGCCCCTACTACCAGCCAGGCTCCCCGGACGCGCAGCGCCAGCACCCGTACCACCTCTAGGCTACCTCGGTAAGATCCACACACGTGACGTACCACTGCCGCCGCCGTGCGCCGGGGCAGAGGTGGTGGCCGGCGCGCCGTACTGCCCATTCAGCGGGTACTGGCCTCCCGCCTGGCACGGGCTGGCGCGTCCGTAAGAGAACGCCAGCGGGTCGTACGCAGGCCGACTCATGTACGCGTAGTCGCGCTGGCTCTGCAGGCACGTGCTGCCGCCTACCGGTCGCTGCTGCGACATGTAGCTCATGGGGTTGACGGCAGCGGCGCTGCGGGACATAGATGGCGCTGCTAATCGTTGGACGGAGGCTGAGAGGGAAGTTTGGACGTGCTCCATCAAGAGAGCATGCCTTCTTGATTGCACACTTCACATGACGCACACTTTTGTTGAATTGCGCTGGGTCCAACATTATGGCAAAACAAAAAGCACTTTCCTGAAACCGGCATTGATGCAAGTCACTCATTATTTTTCTTATACATTTAACGACGCGCCATGACCCAGCAAAACACATCCAACCCCGAAGACTGGGACAGTGCTGCACCACAGCGCCGCTGGTGAGGCAGCCGTCGCCTTCCCTGGCGGCGGCTCCACCTCCCAGGCTGCGGACTCACCAGTAGGACTCGGCCATGGAAGCGGCCGGCAGCGGCGGGTACAGCGCGCCCGGGAACGAGCCGCCGACGCCGTGCTGCGCCGGGGACGAGCTGGGCGTCGGCTCGGAGGGGCGCCGCGAGGAGCGCAGCTTCTCCTCGCGCCGCCACTTCGCCCGCCGGTTGGAGAACCACACCTGTCAGCCGCGCGCCCGGCGGTCAGCAGCGGCACACGGACGGGCGCCAGCCGGCGCACGGCTACCTACAGGCAACTGAGCTAGAGACCGGCGCAGGAAACGGGCGTACGCTAAAGGCCACTGCTCTTAGGCCACTTAGACCACTCAAAGGCCACTTAGGAATACGATGGTGAGCAACGCAACCCTGCCAATTCATGTTATTGGACGGTTCGTAGACTCTGAATGTTGGGGGTCACTGGAGGACTTTTCCGGCCACATCAGTCGTTATTCGGACTTTTCTTGTCCTGGCGTGACAGGCGCCAGCCGATCGGCTGTACCGGCATTGGTGTACCGATGGCTGTCGTACCTGTATTCTGGCCTCTGGCAGACCGATCTTGGCCGCTAGACGCTCCCTCGCGAACACGTCCGGGTAGTGAGTCCGCTCAAACTCTGCCGAAGAACAAGCGACAAGACACAGTGGTCAGACCAACATTCGAGCCAAGCACGTTGTATGTGTGTGTGTGTGTGTGTGTGTCTGTGTGTGTGTGTGTGTGTGTGTGTGTGTGTGTGTGTGTGTGTGTGTGTGTGTGTGTGTGTGTGTGTGTGTGTGTGTGTGTGTGTGTGTGTGTCTGTGTGTCTGTGTGTGTGTGTGTGTGTGTGTGTGTGTGTGTGTGTGTGTGTGTGTGTGTGTGTGTGTGTGTGTGTGTGTGTGTGTGTGTGTGTGTGTGTGTGTGTGTGTGTGTGTGTGTGTGTGTGTGTGTGTGTGTGTGTGTGTGTGTGTGTGTGTGTGTGTGTGTGTGTGTGTGTGTGTGTGTGTGTGTGTGTGTGTGTGTGTGTGTGTGTGTGTGTGTGTGTGTGTGTGTGTGTGTGTGTCTGTGTGTGTGTGTAAATTACGTTTAACGCAGTGCTTCAATGAGAAGTATGTCCATTAGCATAAATGCTGCTGGTTGCTCACCGTAACCGTGAACATTCTACCAAAAACCCAACGTAAGGCTTCAACGCAAGTCACCTCTGCAAACCGAGGCGTACGGCCTTTGTCTTGACGTGATCGAAGGTTTAAGACAGATTCGCTAGCCGTCATTTTGATCCATTTCACATGCATAAGTAGGACTTTGACAGTAATGTCTCTGCCGATTACGAGATAAAAAATTATCTGAACAGATCTATTTTTTGCTCTCACGTCCCTGGTGCAAATATTTAAGTTTCAGAATCCTTCCACGCACGCAGCGCAACGCACGACTGGACTGAATATAGCATTCCAAACCAGCAGCTGCACCAAAAATGCTCCCCTTCTGTCGTGAACAGCAAACATTTTGGGCTGTTATATAGGTCTGCTCCGCCTTGGAGCACCTTCAGCTGTGTGCCGCCCTCTAAATATATGCTACAGCGGCGAATGTCGGTGATATCCTCTCGATAGGTCCAATAACCTCATCGTCATCAATCTACAAAATTTTGACACCTAAAAAGTGAAAATATCATTGTAATGTCTCAGAAAGTGTGTGTCCGATGGACGTGAACCAAATCGCATACGAATCTCGTCCCCGGACCCAGTGCATGCAAATCACCGCGTTGATTTTCGAGACCGGGAACCCGCCTTATCCCCGAGTTTTATATCGTTTTATCCCTGCATGACCATCTGCGCGTCGGCCGGCTGTGCTACTCACCCTTCTCCAAGCTCTCGACCTGGTCGTTGGTGAAGGAGGTCCGGTTGCGCTGCAGCTTTCGCTTGAGCCGCACCCGCGCCTGCTCGTCGTCGCCGTCGTTGACGCCGGGCGTCGGAGACGAGGTGGCCGAGCCGTCGTGCGACTCCAGGCCTGTGGAGGACACAGTCAGCCGGCGTCAGACCAGAGGACACGGTCAGCCGGCGTCAGATCAGAGGACACGGTCAGCCGGCGTCAGACCAGAGGACACGGTCAGCCGGCGTCAGATCGGAGGACACGGTCAGCCGGAGTCAGACCAGAGGACACGGTCAGCCGGCGTCAGACCAGAGGACACGGCCAGCCGGCGTCAGACCAGAGGACACGGTCAGCCGGCGTCAGACCAGAGGACACGGCCAGCCGGTGTTATACAAGAGGACACAGCCGGCCGGTGTCAGACCAGAGGACACGGCCAGCCGGTGTTAGACAAGAGGACACGACCAGTCGGTGTCAGACCAGAGGACACGGCCAGCCGGCGTTAGAGCAGAGGATATGGCCACCCGGCGTTAGACCAGAGGACACGGCCGGCCGGCGTTAGACCAGAGGACGTGGCCAGCCGGCGTTAGACCAGAGGACACGGCCAGCCGGCGCCGAACCGGAGGACACGGCCAGCCGGTGTTAGACCAGAGGACATGGCCAGCCGGCGTCGGACGAGGCGATGGGACCAGGGGTGTCAGGCGGACGGGGGGGGGGGGGGATCAACCGGGAAAACGGGACAGTGAGTGTCAGACGAAAGGGTGGAGGATGTGATGTCAGACGGGGCACTGCTCAGCAGGTGCCGGACAGGGTCGGGATAGCCGATATCAGAGAAGAGATGGGACAGTGTTCCTCACAGTCTTAGGACGTCATGACGAGACAATGACCGACACTCAGCTGGGTTACACCGCATTGCATTTCAGATAAACAGTGCGATGGAACCTTGTGAGAACTGCCAATATTGGAGAAGACACGTGATATACCGAAAATGGAGAGGGAGCGAAGGAAGAGAGAGCGAGAGGAAAATGAGAATGGAGACGGGGAGAGAGAGAGAGAGAGAGAGAGAGAGAGAGGGAAAACGACGGAAGGAGAGAACGACAGAAGGAGAGGAGGATAGAAGGACACAACATCAGCGAAGCCAAATAGCCATGTGTTTTCTTGTATTGTATTTATTACGTAGTGTACATGTGTTATCTGGAAATATGTAACTGCGTGTGCTTCCGAGCAAAGGCGCTTTGTCGCAAAATGGGCTTTGGGGAGGGGGGGGGGATGAAACGTGGCAAATTACGAAACGTACTCCAAAGTCGCCAACACACTGATTTCTCCGGCTTTGACCATTTTCTATCAGAATTGGGTGGGGGAGGGGCTGGAGCTCAGGTTTTGGGTTGTGGGGGCTGAAGCATCCCTCCCCTTCCATCTGAATAGGAAATTACATTCCTGCTTCTGAGCATTTTGAGCTGCGCATGGCCAGTCACTTTATCGGCAGCTTCTTTGAGCGCACACATGAAAATTGCGGTACTTTGGTTACATTCATGCATAACAGTTATATTCGCTCACACAATATATTGAACAAGGCATGCCGCGTTCCACGGAAAGTACGCTCAGATGCCCGTCAATACCCAATTGATGTGTGGATGCAATCTGTATAGCTGCCATGCAATGTTGATAAATTCGTGCCTGCATCTGACCAAGATACGTAAACGGCAAGGATTGCCGTTGGATTGTGGTGTGGTGAGGCGTGCCCCGGCACACAGCCTGCCAGGCCGGGGCTGCGGATCGGCCGGTGGTGCGCAGTACCATGAGCCGGTGACCCGGCCGGTCGTGGACGGCGCTGCCCGGTCCCTGCGGACGGTACCGTACAGACTGAGGGACGGCGCTGCCCGGTCCCTGCGGACGGTACCGTACAGACTGAGTGACGGCGCCGCCCGGTCCCTGCGGACGGTACCGTACAGACTGAGGGACGGTGGTACCCGGTCCCTGCGGGCGGTACCGTACAGACTGAGGAACGGCCCCGCTTGGGCGGAGCTGGCCCGGACCACACGGACAGCGCTGCCTGGGTGGAGCCGGTCCGGACCACATGGACGGCCCTGCTTGGGCGGAGCTGGCCGGGACCACGTGGACAGTGCTGCCAGACCCACACAGACGTCCCTGCCCAGATCGTACGGATGTCACTGCCCGGAACTTAAAGACCACACTCCCCGGGCCATACGAAGGTCAATGCCCGGGCTGTGCGGACGCCACTGCCCGGACCGTACGGACGGCGCTGGTCGCGCGGCGGCGGCCGGTGGGCGGCGGCGGCGGCGGCGGCCATTTGGCCGCGCCCGGCCGGCCGTCCGTCACGCTGCAGATACGCCGCCGCGCCGGCTGGCCGCCATTCAGCCGCTATCGCCGCCAGATCGGCCCGAATGAATCTCGCAGATAGACGCGGCCGGTTTTGACGGCGTGGTCGGGCCTATTCGGCGCGTTTTTGCCGACGTCCTATCTGACTTCTGGTTGGCTGGCGCCGCGCAACGGGCGCTTATCTGCGCCGCGCCGGCCGGGCCCGGACAGGCAGCTCGCTCCCCCTCTGTCTCCGCCTGCGTCGACGGCTGCCAGCGCTGTCATAGCCAGGAAGTATGATAAACAGCACGGGAGGCGCCAAGAGAAATATACAAAACGGCCGGTCGAGCCAGGGTGATGGTCCCCGGCACCCGGGGGCGTCACGAGCCCGGCAATGGCCGTAGAAAGCGGGTGGCGCCAGCCCAGGGCGCACAGAGCAAGCGACGGGTGGCAGACGCTCGCTGATGGGCGCAGCGGTCACGCGGGGAGTATAGGTCGCCGAGGCATACATGGGTGTGTGCCGTGTGGTGCTGTCTTAATGACGTAGAGAAAAATAGGGCTGAATGTTATCTAGTGTATTCTGAAAGATGCCACGGAAGCATGTCGTGCGTTTGCAGCCGCTGAGGTCTTATGAAGAGTTACGTGTCACTAACTGAGCTGTTGTATCTGACACAGGCCAATAGCCACACTCGTGGCTCCTGTTATTGCAAAATATGCCGCCACAGAAAGCCACGCAAAGCAGCACCATTATTTCATCTTGACTACAGCAGCCAAGCTTTTCTGATAGCATCCAGCCCTTCCCTTCGTTTCCCCGGTTCTTCATATCGCCGTCAATATATGGCTCATTATTCAGCGATGCTTGATATTTCCAGCGTTTCGCCTCTGCCCGCAGGCTGCTCGCAGAGATACCGTCGCGCAGTGCGATAGACGGCACCTAGCAACAGCCTGTGGCAGTCCGCACAGAGGAACTGGCACCCAGCACAGCCCGTAGCAGCCCGCACAGAGGAACAGGCAGCCCACGCAGAGGAAGTGGCAGCCCGGTCAGAGGAGGTGGCAGCCCGCACAGAGCTCGATGCATCCCGCACAGGGAAGGTGGCAGGCCGCACAGGGCGAGAGGTAGTTCGCACAGAACGAATGGTAGTCCGCACAGAGCGAATGGAAGCCTGCACAGAGCGAGGGGTAGCTCGCACAGAGCAAGTGGTAATCCGCACAGAGCGAATAACAGCCCGCACGGAGAACGTGGCAGGCTGAACAGAGCGAGAGGCAGCCTGCACGAATCGAGAGGCAGCCCGCACAGAGCGAATGGTAGTCCGCACAGAGTGAATGACAGCCCGCACAGAGAGCGTAGCAGACTGAACAGAACGAATGGAAGCTTGCACAGAGCGAATGGTAGTCCACACAGAGCGAATGACAGCCCGCACAGAGAGCGTGGCAGGCTGAACAGAGCGAGAGGCAGCCTGCACGCATCGAGAGGCAGCCCACACAGTAGAGTACCGTCGGTCCCACCGCTCCCAGCGGTCGCAGCGATCGACCATGGCGGCCGCTTGCATTGTGGAACATCTACAAGAATCGCCCCGCAAAATCAATACCAACACAATTGATTGCATGGCTTATAGGCAAAGCCAACATATCCCGAAACTAAACTGGTACTAAGGCCCGCCGTTTGTCATACGGAGACCATTTTTGTCCCATTGTTGGACTCGTCCAATTATTTTCCAAACGACACGATTGAGGAGGGGATCGGGGCGGCCGGATTGTTCGACGCACCCGTCGAATCGTTTGTCTGCCGAAATAGAAAGAATGTTGCTGACATTCCGAGGGCTATTTGCGTCGTCTGTAGCTTCTGTTCGCTAAACATGACCTCAACTATCCTAACATGTTTTAAACATGAATACATGTTCAAAACATATTGGGTACACGTCTTTCTTCCGTAATCAATCGATCGAGTTATTGTGAATGCAGGGCCTGTAAAATGTTAATCCCAATTCTTTACAGCGTACAACGGACCATCGCTACCTTCCCGTTCCCACCTGCCAGTCAAAGCCAGCCTTTCCCGCCACTGCCGTCTCACTCGCGAGCCGCCTGTCTCGAACCTTCCGTCACGTCCACCACCAGCTTGTTCCGTTCCCCGTCATGAGAGCCTCGGCCAGTCCGTCCCCTGCCGTCCGCGCCGGCGTCAGCTGACGCCGCCCATGCGCTCAGGCCGCTCGGTCATGTGGCAAGCGGGCTTTGTGCGCCCTAATTGGCTAGGTAGCGATGAGCGGCGATCCTGAACAACGGGCCACGTGATTGGCCGCCGTAATGACAGCGAGCTGCGCCGGCGGCGCGGCACGGTGTCGCCCCGATTATCGAGACGGCTCGGCGGGGCCGGCGGCGCCCGCCTGGGCAGGTAGGCTGTGCCGCCGGGCTGAGAGACGCCGACGGGTGAGACCGGGTGGGCGACCACCAGGCGAGTAGGCGTAAGGACTGGGAGGGAGGCAGAGAGAGCCATGGCCTTCCCACTTGGTCTGCAAGGACAAGGTTAATGAATGGCCACACCAAACATGCACACATGAGACTGGCCGGTAAATGAAACATCTATATGGCGTATGAATTACGTAGTGTGAGAAGTATATTAACAGCATGGCTTACGCGCGATGCATGCTACCATGGAATGCGATGAAAACCTGGGCAGCACACAATTTAGATTAATTCTACAACAAATCATATTGAGAACTCCGTCTTTGTATTCTCTGCGAGTGGTACCAATTATTGCAGGGTTAGACTTTTAATCAAAATGCACATTAGTTTCCGTGGGCGTATTCATTGCTCTACTACTCCCGTCACTTTTCGACAGACCAGATTAGTGAGGCGCGTGCCGGCCGCGTGTGCGCCGGGGCAGATGGGGTCGGCCGGACCGGGCCGGACCGGGCCGGGCCGGGCCGGGCCCCACGCGGCTGCTCATCTGCCGCTCCGGTCGCGGATTACTCGGGCATTACACCGCGCGCTGCCTTCGCTGATTAACACCGCGCGCCGCCGCCGCCGCCGCCGCCGCGCCGAATCGCCTCTCGTTTCCATATGGAAATACGCCGGGGGTTTGGCGACGGCCTCACCCCGGCCCGACGCTTTATCTCGGCCAGGCTCGCTTTTTAAGTGAAACGCGGCCGAGCGAAAGAAGCACCCCACTGCGACCCCGATACGCCCCGACCGAACCGTTTTTCATCAGCGGGAAAGCCGCTTGCTTTTGGGTGACAAAGGTCGAGACACTCTTGGAAGAGCAGTTCACAAGGCTTTGGGCGTGATGGTATCGTTCTAAGGTCGCACTCCAGTTCAAAGGCAATGACACTATGTGAAATTCATGACTCAAAACAGGGTGGATCGCTTCTTGCTGTTGCACAGATATCTTTACGCGTAAGTTCATGGCCGCAGCTTTGGAGATAATTGTAATGGCCTGCATAACGCACACGTTTACGGCTATGTAAGTTTACAGTTACGGCTGTTTTGGTTAAGCAACTGGGAAGGCTGAGCGAGCGGTATATGATCCAAACCACTCCAAAAATGATCCACGCCAGGGACTCTGTCAGTCCTTTGATCGCCACCCTCAGAATGCACCATTGCCATTGGGCGACGATTTTGTGATTACATGGATATCACGTACGTCAGTCACATCACGTGCCTGCAGTTCGCCCAATGCTGTGGTTTTGCACACCATTCTAGTGACTGGCACCCCAAGCCCGAACTGAGGCGGCGCCAGCTGACCGCCATCTCGGAGCGTCAGCTGACCGCCAGCTCAGAGCGTCAGCTGACGGTGACGCTCCGCTGTGACGTCATCACCGGCACGCCCGGTCTCGTCTCCGCACCGCACCGCTGACGACCACGGCTTGATCCAGCCATGGTTTGAGTTACCGTGTGCATGCCAGCCCGGGGTGGCGCTGATGATCATCAACGCCTTAGATACGTGGTAGCAAGGGCTGGGAACGCGGGGCAGCCATAATTTTATCAAAGGAGGGGCGGAATTCAAAGAGAACTTCACGTGAGATAATCAAAGAAGATAGCAAAGTTGGCTTGCTTGGTATTGAATTGAAATTTTCAATCCAAAGTAGGTGTCAATTTTAACTCCCTGTCCGGAGCATCTACGATGCAAAAATAGGAGAATCCACGACTGGGCGCTCCTTTGACCCCCTCTCTGGGTGAGTGACGCTTGGCCAGCCGCTGGCCGGCTCCTGACCGGCCAGACCGGCTGCCGACGCGGCATTCAGCGTCACCAGGCCGTCTGCGACCGGCCACACGCCCTGCTGCTGTCGACGGCAGCAGCCTCGCGCCGGCGCCGACGGCACACGCCGCCGCCGCCGCCGCTGGGGTAGCGTGTCCGCCGACCGCACCTCATCCATAATGCAGTAATGCGGTAACGCGCGCTGTAAACATTTCCCCGGGGACTCCGGCGACAGCAGACGTTATCGTCACTGACAAATCACGGCCATCCCGGCGGCCGGCGCCTCGCGTGACGCCGCCGGCCGCCGGCGCCGCCTCACGCGCTAAGTGCCCGCGGCCATTTGCTTCTCCTCCGGGAATGGCGCCCGGTGGTCCGGACGGCGGTCATGCAGCGTTGGACGGCTGGGAGGGAAAGGGGGGGCGGGCACTCTGCAGTCTACCGGGCGGAATCAGCCAAGCGTAACAAAGGGAGGGCTCTTCAGGGCCGACAACTTGTATACGTGTACCCCTTGCCCTCTTTCCCCAGTATTTTCTGGCCTTTGACGGTAACCCTGTGATGATACATGAAAAAATTACGTAAGTTGTTGAGTGCATTTGCGAGCAACATTATGCACGTAGGCCGGACAAGAAAAATAGCCTTATTTCTCGGGGAAAACTAACAGAATGGAGATATAGATGCGCTGATATTTCGCCAACATGCCCTTATCGAAACGAACAGCAGAAGTGCGGCCTTTTCTAATCGGCCTATGTTCTTCTGTCATTTGTTTCGATAGAAACATGTCGCTAAAATTCCAACGAATCCGTATCTCCACTCCTCTGGTTTTTCTCCGAGAAATAAGACTATTACTGCAGCCTTATCTACATATATGAAAAACATGACCTGATAGTCCAAAATTACCGCTGCACCCCAGCGATATCACACACACACATATATATATATATATATATATATATATATATATATATATATATATATATATATATATGTATGTATATATATATATATATATATACGTATGTGTACGTATGTATGATATCATTGACTTATCATGCATATCACTGTTGCGACAATGATGCAAACAAAGTTGATGTCAAGAAAAAAACGGACTAAGCTGGGGTTGTTAACATCAAAACATGACCAAGTGTTGTGCACATGATCAGAGTGACCTAGACTAGAGCTACCCGCGTTCGGGGGCGCTCAATTTGAGCCCAAACCAAGATTATGGGACATACACCCCAGCTACCCCGAATGCGAGTAGCGTACAACACCTCGGCTTCGGCGCCTGTGAAGTGCGTGGGCGCCGGCGCGCTGTTGTGCCTCGGCTTCAGCGCGAGCCTGCCCACCCGTTCAGCGGGCCGGCCCGGCCGCCACCGGCCTTTGAGCTGACGTGGCCGTGCGCGCCTTTGATGACGGCGACAACAGGTAGCGCCGGTGGCGGCACCTGTCAGGCATCTGTCATCGGCGCCGGCCGCGCCGGCCGCGCCGCTGTTTGGACACCTCGGCTTTGGTGACGTCTCAATCGGACCGGCGTGCCTGTAGCGAATCCGAGGGGTGCGCACAACAGCCCTGGAGTGGGGGGACATGTTATGAGCCGGCTACTGATCCTTTGTCGGCGCTAACGATAATGCCGCCCCGGCCGCCGGTGGGGGGCGCCCCCTCCCAGCCGGAGTGCCGCCGCCGCGTCGACACAATGCCGCCACAATGGCGAACACGCACGGTTCGGTGGCGGCGTTAGCGGCGTGGGAGCGGGCGGCGAGCGGCGCGGCGGCGGCTGCAGCGGTCGGGCGGAGCCGCTGAGCCGATTGGGGCAGCGGTCCTGCCGCCCGCCCAGTCCACACATCCGGCACCCGACCAGCAAGCCCGGCACGGCCTTTTGGGGTCAAGCTGATGTATTGTTTTCGTGAAGTGAACGGATGTGATGTGTCTCGGACGGCTGCAGTTTAACGATTTTTTTAGTGCACGTCGGCATGGCGAAAGTTAATGAATAATTTTGTGCGAAGGCATAGGGAATGGTCAAAAATCTTGGTAGCAGCGTACGCACATTCCAATCGGGAGATGTTACCATTATTCTCATACTGAGGTCAGTTGGTGGCGCCGCTGTCACATTTCGCCTCACGTATATTCTAATCATATTTGTTCTTATTAAGTGCGTGTGGTCTACTATCAGAGCTAAGGTTGATACCGCGATATGTGAGTATTGACTGGAATGAGGAATTTCCAGTGTCGTGACATAGAAGGAATGAGGGCTCATTGACCGGCCCCCGTGGAATGTCGTGGGACAATGTGTCAACATGAGGGTCTCTGACTGTTGATCGGGTGTTCTGGTGAGCTGTGTTGCGCAAGAAACAGAACTTTTGCGGATAGTCGAGAGCTGGTCGATGCGACGGCGCCAGAAGTCGCCTGGTTCCGCACCGCCCGTGCCGCACTCACCGATCTCGGTCTTGAGGTCGTCTCTGAGGTGGAGCGCTGCGGCGGGCGGCGGCGGGCCGACCGGCGGCGAGTCGGAGGAAGCCGACAGCGCGTACTGGCCGCCGCCGGCGCCGGCCCCGGCCCCGGCCCCGACGCCCGCCCCGGCCCCGGGGCCGGTCCGGTACCAGGGGTCGGACCGCGGCCAGCCGCCGGGGCTGTTCAGCGCGCGCAGTTTATCGTAGACGGCGTCCGGCTGGCTGCAGGGCGCCGCCGCCGCCGCCATCGGCTGCTCCTTGGTGGCCACGATGTTCCGCAGGACCCGGTTTATGGACGACACCTGACGGCCGTAACCTGAGTCAGCGGACTGCACACCGCGACAACACGCGCTCAGGCAGCAATGACTGAACGAAAATATAACAGACGCCTGCGTCATGAATCCACAGGCCATGACAATGCAATAGTATTTCTACCTTCGACCTAGTGAGTGGTTCCGTTGAGATATTCGCACAGTGCGCGACAGTTGGGCAATCGGACACAAGAAAAGTGGCACCCACGCTGGGAATGTTCTCCGTGGAACAGACGCCCTCCTGCAGTAACCGGTCCCGGATCTCCCAGGCGAAGATGCTGGGACACTCGCGCTTGTAAGCGGTGACCCTCTCCACCACCTCGTTGGTGGCGACGCGCGGCTTGGAGCCGCCGATGGCACGCGGACGGATCGAGCCCGTCTCGTAGTACCTGTCATCCACAGAGGACCGGTTAGGGCAACCGGTCCACTACAGAACCGGACGCCTGCCACGCGCCGAACACGTCCACTTCTAGTCCAGTCTGAACACGTGCATTTCCAGCCCAGTTTGAACACGTCCACTTCCGGTCCAGTCTGAGCACGTCCACTTCCAGTCCAGTCTGAACACGTCCACTTCCAGTCCAGTCTGAACACGTCCACTTCCAGTCCAGTCTGACAAGGTTATACGCGATAGATGGGAACTGACAAAACACATGGAGGCTTGAACAACTGGGTTTCTCGTGCCGTTATTTACAGCTCAGATGTACGAGGCCAGCACATCCACACACGTGGTGCCAATGAGCAGTGTTCACGAAGCGCTCTCTAGTGCTAAGAAAGCACGCTTGGCGCATGTGAGGTCATTCAAGCAGTTCTAGGTAAAAGGTCGGTCAACTTGGGGTCGGTATCTGGGATATATACGACACCTTTATAATGCGGAGATACAATCATGCCACCAGGCTGCGGGTTATGGGAACAATGCAAGAAAAATAGCCCGGCAAAAACTGGTCGTACGCCTGAAAAATACAGCAAACCATTCTGTAAGCAAACATTCAGGTAGTTCACTCAGAAAAACAGAAACAGATGACACCGTTTTACGTGCGATGGAGACAGGCCGAGTTAGTTATTTTCGAGCGATGTACACGTTTGCGCCAAGTTTTGCTGGGAGCACTGGCTGTCCTAACATTAAGTCACTAACTCCCCTAAATCCTTTGTAAAATGCGCCGCCCGCTCATTCCCAGGCGTTAAAGAGACTTCTACGAAGATGGTCGTTCTCTCTCTGCATTGTGATCGCCAAACGCTCCCGTCGGACGCCAGGGCATTCACATCAAAACTGGTCGACTTGAGTCTGAAGACATAATTGGCTTAGACTGACCATGAACGAGGTGACTGTTCACTCGAATTCACATACAAAAATCAAATTTGATCATAGTCAGCGAGCGCTGGAAGCGACAACCGTTCACTCGGCCCCCTGTTCTCATATTGTGAGCATGTTTACCAGATTACAGCACGCTTATTCGCCTCTTCTAAGGCTTTGTTTGTGTCTGATGGTGAATAGCCACCTGGTTGTCTTGTCGTGAATCGATGGTCAAGACTCCCAACATCCCGGTTCAACAGACGGGACGCAGTTTGAGACGAGGGGTGCTGCCGGAGTCTCATGCATCACCGGGCAGCCGAGCACTAGCCAATGTTCACATTCAAAGGATGTGTCACAACGGGCTTGCTTCGGGCTCATCCATCACGGTGCCTTTCACGGGCGCAATGTAACGAACCGCGGAGCAGAGGAGAGCTCCCGGCGGTGCGGCTCTCCCGCTCCGCTCCGATTTCCATTCAGAAGTCCGCGAGTCACTTCTGGGCCGGCTGATTGGGCGCAAATCACGTCGGCGGCTTTTGAAGATGATTAATGGTTCGCCGGACAAAATGTCTCAATTTTGGAGCGCATTCATCGCGGAGCACAGAGAGGATGGGGCAGCTGGGAAAACATGAAGGGAAGGAGGAGAATGAGGATGAACGCTCCTAGCCCCGATAAAAAAGCAGGCACGCACATGTCTGGGGCAGCGGCTAAGCCGAGAACGAGTGAAAATATATTTCTGTAACATAGGAAATATCAAGCGGGATATTTTCAGTCGTTACTTTCAACCGAACTAGGGGTGGCAGCGTATAAGGCTTTCAGGGATCAAGCCTGGCAGTTTTCCCAACGCTAGTGCTATTTATTATAGGTCTGCTACACAGACCACAACGCTCCCTGGCAGAAACTCGACATTCTTCTGGTTATTCAGCCTCACTGGTCATCGGTTCCGTCCGCCACTAGCGTTTTTTTAATCCAGGGGTGTGGTTTCCTCTGCAGCTATGGCTCCAGTCCCTCTCCCAGCTTTGAGAGGGAAGTGGGCCAAATCCGTGGACAAACCTGATTGGGAGCGTAATTTGGAGGCGGGTCAAGGCACTCTTATATCTTCAGAACCTTCCTCCCCCCGACACAACTTGTTGTGCGAAAATTTACCCCTGTTCTAGTCTTCCCGATGATCCAGTCACAGGTACAGGCCGATGATCACACCCCTGCCTAATTCCCCTGCGCCGCTCCGCTACCCTTGTCCGGCATGCACTCTGAGCTGACCGAGTGCTGCCGGCGGACGCCACCACCACTGACCTGCCCAGAATTTTGGAGACGCAGCCGTTGGAGACCTGCAGGATGCGGCTGATGTCGCAGGGCCTGACGCCGGAGTGGGCCAGCTCCACTATCTTCTGCCGGGTGGTATCAGGCAGCGGCCGGCCGCTCACGAACGCTCCGCCCAGCTGGTTGACCCCGCTGTGACCTGGTCGACGTCCGTACCGTTAAGTGAGACACGTAAGCGGACAGAAACCGACACATTGTTGGTGATATCATGGTCCAGAGTTCTGGGGACCTCACGCTGTGGAACTATTCGTAGCAAGAAGATTCGTTGTCGGAGACACAGGAAGTGTGAGTTTGGCTGAATACAGCTCCCCGAGAGCTTCCGTCACCAGCATCCCAATTTAAACCGTTCGTGAACGACAAATGAGTGCCCCAATGGGCAGAAAGAGCCGGAGTGAGGGAGTGAAAACGTTGTCCCAGTACGCCTTTTGGCAGTCCAGCCATTGATGTGAACACTGCAATGAAAAGCATCATGGTCATGTGTGCGTTCAGAGCGTCCCATCCCATCATCAGTGACGAGGTTTAGTATGCAGGGGTGTCATCGCTTCCTGTCATCGTCGATTTGAGCGGGCCGGGTTTTATTTTCGGTTGCAAAAAGGAACAGAACGCGAGCGTGCTGTTTACCAATTGATGTCAAGTCAAGACCGTCAAGAGTCAAGTCAAGACAAGAGTCAAGGCTGACCAGCGAAGACCAGCCTGCGAAGACCAGCGAAGAAGAAGGAGAAGGGTTTGTGGGCGACAATACATTCGTCGTGGCGAGTACAGCAATGCTAAGTCGGCAGAAAAGAGCAGGGGCGAGGAAGGGCAGGCTGGTGATAAAGCTTTTACGCCAACATCAAAACAGGAATGTAACGCGATACCGCACGCGGTTGATTGGTTTGAGGTGCTCCTGGCCCACAATACGCACTAAGCCTCTGTGCTGCGCTTTGGAAGATGAGAGCATATCACAGAAATCGTGAGTCAATGACACGCGTCACTTTGTTCTGAGTGGCCATAAGTTTCTCGTCCGACGGTGTCATACTACGTATTGGTTGTACGAGTGCATTTCCGACCCAGTGATCTGTCGATGGCTCGAGCGCCTACATTGCCCAGGGGCATCGAGTAGGGCTTGATTCCTTGATGGATGTAGTTAGGCATAGACGAATCTACCCAATAAATTGTCAATATATATGCTTGAGAGGAAACAACTGACAGGCAGTCGGATGTAGCATAAGACAATGCACCACATTAGCTGAGGGAGCGTTAAAGGACGATATCGAATCAGTGCTCACAACTCAAGCTAACCAACATTTAATTCTCCGAATACATTCAGTGTGATGACACCCACAAGTTGACAGAGGTACCTATCTATCTCGGGTTGCCTGCCCTTTAAAAAAAAATACGCAAAAGCCGTCGGCAGCGGACCGGCGCAAGGTAGCCTGCCATGTACCGCCTCCGCCTGGTCGCGACGCCCCCGGGAGTTGGCAGCGAGCGGCGGCGACGCCCGGCTCGCGCCGCCGCTCGCCGCAGACGCCGCCGGCCGCCGCCATGATGAGCTGTCCGATCAATAGCGATTTCCATCTAAATGCTAAGAAACTTCACACAGGATAATCTAATGGAACCAATGGGGTGGAAAGGCCAACAGATCGGCGCGCGGCTGCGGCTCCGCGAGCGAGGACGTGGCGCGTCGGGTGCCGGCTGGGGCGAGCTCGCCGCCGCGTGAAGTCGCGCTCCGCCGCCGGCCGGCGTCGGGACCGGAACACGAACGGAATGGCCAGAGGCGCGCTCAGCAGTGATGGTGTGGGTCGGAAGGAAGGGCCGGGTGCCGGGAGGGGGGAGGAGGAGGGGCCGGGTGCCGGGAGGGGGAGGGAGGAAGGGCAGCGCCTGATGCAGGGCGTGGAGGATGCGGGCCGGAAGGTATAACGCCATTCCAAGCGTGACACGCGTCAGAGGGAACAGACAAGGGCATGGGAAGAAAGAAATGCATGGGGTGACGAGCCCCGGAAGGGAGAGAAATGGGGGCGCAGAAAAAGGAAGGGAGAACACAGAAGAGGAAGGGGTGGTTATGTCTCGCACGTTGGAAAAGGCTAGGACAAGCTATATTTGTCATTCCGTCCAGGTCAACATGTCCATCAACGCTTACCATATTTGCAACACTTGGGCCCGCCAGCGCTATGTATTCCTGGGCTCGTGAGAAAGAATTGGTGTTTCCGAGCTCGTGGATAAGCCTGAGGTGTTCTTAAACTCGTGGAGAAGTCCTGAAGTGCTACTGAAATCGTGAGCGAGTGGCATTTCAAATCAGGCTGTCGTGAAAATTTCAAGTGAAGGGCGTGCTTGTCGTGGGCGCGTGTTGGTCGCCCGCAAGGAGGGAGAGGAAGAGGAAGTGGGTGCGTCGCGCCACCAATGCTGGTCACGCGCGGTGGCGGTGTGCTCGACGGTGGGGTGTTTCTCTGAAGACAAAGCAACTCCATACGTCGAGCGGAACTAGACTGCCGACGAGAACAGGGCTTTGCACGATCGACGCGAGGGGTAAAAAGCGCAACGACTGTCTGTTAGCGAGCAGGAGGTGTTCGTTCACCACAGGCATGTGGCATGGGACAGCACGAGGGGCCAACTGTCGGCGACATTACTCACAGTAGATCATGAAACGGGCCGGCCAGAACATTCGCGGGGATCATATGTGGGCAAGTATAAGAAGGACCGACAAAAATAGTACTGAAATCAGCACAGAGAGGGGGAGCAAGGAAAACCGGATAACTGCGATATGACAGAACTGTCAGATTGATTTACGATGACCTAATCGTAATTGGGATCGTGGTTCTAAGTCGATACGAAGAAGACAAATGTTAATAATTCTTATCTCAAACTTATTCGCTCGACATCAGCCATAATGACTTTACATCTGCTATCCATTCTTTGATATGTTCAATACCATGAGATGGCTGAATGCTGCAATTATCGCGCAGCAACAAACTGCAATCGCTCTGAAATTACGTCACAACCGAGTGGCCTCACGTGACCGGCGATAGATGTATTATTCCTTTTTTATTTCACGATCATCCACCTACGAACCGCTTTTCGTAACTCCACGCATCACGGTCCACGGATAACAAAAATTAGGGACACTTTATGACAAAGAAATCCAAACTAGCTGATGTTAGGTGGCTGATAATAGGTCGATATAACACCTTAGTACTGTTTATAAAAGGTCGTAGCACATCTCAGCTGGCCAGGTTTAGCTACGCAGCGCTCCCCAATCGCTAACCAAACAACGCGTCTCCAAACTAACGATCGTCGGAAATGTTCTTACGTCAGCCAAAACACACACACACATGAGCACTGCCCGAAGACATGACTCCCCCCCATAAGATGAGCATCTGTGCTGCTTTTTAGTGGTCGTTGACGAATTTGGGGTCATTTGGATCAGATGCCGAGAGGTGCAAAGAGATACTTGGCCTCTAAAGTCAATGCAAAACCACGGCTGTGGCAACATTCTATGATCTCCACATTTCACCTTTATTACTAAACGTGTATTACGCAGATTGACCATTTCATCACATTTCCTTCTGCATAGTAAGCTGGCTGACAACCTCTGCAGCAGGGCGTTACATCATTGCATGAAGAAGTACGCAAACCGTGTGGTTATAAAAGACAAGAGTTATAAAAAAACGAGCGGAAATACACCTGAAGATCGCTAACTTTGCACCAAAACGTCATATCATCCTTACAAAGAGGTTTCTAAATGGTAATGAGGGACACCGCGACTGGTTTAATCCTAGTTTCAACTCAACGGATGCTATGTAGCCTGTGGGACAGAGCCTGGCTTGTCGCGCTTTTGACCGGATTGCGTCTTTGCAATCGCTGATTGCATTGCAAAATTTGTCGGTAATAATGAAAAGTCCTTTGAAATGATCGCTGTAAAATTTTGACAAGAAACTATTTGTTTGGTTTCTTCCAGCATAGCGATACCAGCACTATATTATCACCGTTATTCGTTATCATGGCGAATGTAAAAGTTGTAGATCGCAAAAAGTTGAAAAACACAACTAGAGACCGGTCCAAACATTGGCAGCACGGTGTCACAATGACACGCGACCAGCATTGTTTCAGTAGGGAGAGAATGGGCAACCGTACGTGTGAAAGCGTGCGTCGATATGTACAGGCGATCGCACACAAACTACGGCAACGCCGTTGTCGTTCTTCTAAGGACTGTCCTCAGGCCTCAACAATCAGAGCAGATAGGGACGTGAGACCAACTGCGTGATGTAGATGAATGCACCGGCTGCAAAACACTGATCAAGCTCAGCAATGGATGGCCCGGAGCAACACCGCGCATCGACCAGGTGGCGGTCAATTCCACCTCTTTGAAATCTCACATTCCCCAAGCTCTGAGCCCAACCTGATGGAGACCGCGCCATGACAAACGCACAAGGGTAAAGCCGAATACACTGTGATCACTACCCATCCAAAGCGTGTGTGTTTTTCTGGATACTTTGGCCGAAGCCACAGGAAACACAACCAACTCTAAATTTGCGATGTTGCCGACCAAACTGACCAGGTCTTGCCGCCCTCAAGGTAAACTGATTCTCAAGAACGCTTTCTTGTAAACTTGCGCCAGAAAGGCATCAGTGAACCAACGGCTGCTAAACTCATCGAAGTGTTATTATTCCATTGTGTCACCGTGATTGTTGCGTACGTTATTACGACGCTTTATTTACGCCCCCAAGGACCGACGACCGAGGCGTTGTTAGCCCGCGTAATTGGCAAAGCAGGTGTTTTTGGCCGTTTGTGCGTTTACACTGAACATGTGACTAATAGCCAAGGCCCTGATACGTGTACACTGAACATCTGACCAATACCCAAGACCTTGTTACGAGTACACTGAACACCTGACCAGAAGCCACGGCACATATACGTGTATGCGTTTGTCCGACGCCAATTCAGCTTGTATAGACACATACGGTTCAGAAAAAAAAAAACAATCAAACTGCATGGTAACAGCGCCGCGACGAGGAAGCTCCGCGTATGCGCCGGGCCTTCCATAGAGAGATACTGCGGGGCTGCCAGTCTGGCATTGTCGCCGGGAGCGGAAGTGGGGGAGGAGGTGGTGGGGGGGGGGGGGGGCGCTGCGGACTGACCGTTGTCGGACAGGCCGTCTAGAGACTGACCCTTGTGAGGCATGTCGTCTATGGACGTGACGCAGGTCGCGGCCCATTGCGAGCCCGACCCTGGGTGCTGTGCACTCAGAATGGCGGCCCTGGCTCGGTACCTCCCGGCACCTGCAACACACAACACTGCGTCATAAGGAAGGCCAAAGCACCGAAAGCTGGTGTGGTGCATTATGCAAACTACTGGTGCACGTTTGCATCAACTGTGAGGTGGCTTATGCGGTAGTGCATCTTACCAATGCCAACGTACGTGAGGCATTGCTCATCTGCAGGGCTTCTTTGTATGTCTTTACTGCTTATTGGCTAGCATTATACTAAAACATTCAGAACATAAACAAATGAACAACTGCGTTAAAAACATGCTTTTAGCCTAGATGCGGAAAGTGCAGTGGTATAGACAAGCAATTTCAGACAACCCAAGCTTTCAAGTCAAGATAAGACAAGCTTTATTCCCGTCACAAACAGCTGCTGAAGTCCGCGCGGAGAATGAACGGTATTCTATTGCTGCATAAAATGTGTTTAATTCTCTGTTTGATGACACAAGTTTGTTGATATGACAATAAATTTCTCCCTGCACAAAAAAAACTTTGGACTGGCTAAGACCCGAAAACCTTCTTCACTTAATGTAATATGTACTTTTATTTATCAAGATATTATAATGTTCTCGGCAGCAGATCGATCAGATGAGGCCCATGTTCGGCACGCACCGCTCACTGAGCTGATTCGAAGTGCGGGATGATCCTCGATATTGAATTACGTACATACCTATCGCGTGTCCCCTGCCGGGGCAGAAGTCCAATCAAGATGAGGATGAACAAAGACATTTTTTCAAAACTTTTTAGCTTAGATACCTAGCGCTTCTGTGCTGGCAGACGAGTGACGACACAAACCGTGGATCCGAGAACACCATGACGGTGGTCTGATTCACTGTAGCATACCATGTCCTCACACATGAGCAGGAACGGCAGACGGCACACATAAGGCACCCAGTGTCATCGAAGGCAGAACAGTAACGACTTAGTGAACCCTAAACAATATTTGCCTGAAAAACAGAGCTTACCGCATTTGAGTCAGGATTTTTCTGAGTTTGAGGTACTCTCAGCCAGAAGTATAAACAGTTTAGCCGCCCTGGATTCTTACTCGACCAGTGAACATCGTGAGACTTAACTTTACGTGCGGGCCTGACCATAGGCTCTAGTCGCATAAGTGCAAATTCCGACATCTTTTGATCTGATAAGAAACCCAAAAAATACCACAGGAGGACACAGTCAGAGATCTTCACGATTCAGCGAATGATCTTCGGAACTCAGTTGAATCCTATTGATCCGTTTGAACTTCCAAGGCCCTACGTATTATTGTCATGTCTCGTCATTGCCATCTATTATTGCTATGTATTATTGTGATGTTTAGTGTTATTGCTCGTCTCCTTTTTGTTTCCCGGTCATTGTCCGAGTCCGGCCAGGCACAACTAATTGGACGTTATACCGGTGATTCACATTTTGGAGCTGGTGCACGTCAATGTGTTTGATAAGTAACTAGTTTTATTTCATTTTAGCTCGACCCGGTTTAATACAAAACGTCTGTTGAGTTAGATAACACATGAGTGTATCGACTATTTTGAAATAGATGCCGAGTATTCAGTACGATCTGAGATAGGTGGACAGGCTGGTCATTGAATTCAGTCATGCCCTAACCCTTGTCTCAGTAAAAGGTGCTATGTAGTTCAGTCTACTACTTCGCAGCCGCAGCATCAGCCGTAGCCAATGGATTAAGCCGCGCGAACTTAACCGCTGTCAAAGGCTGGGCTCAATTCGTGAAAACAATGATTTGTAGAGCGTCAGAAAAACTGAATGTACAGAACTCTTCAAACGATCCTATCAACACCACACTCTGCATAACAGTCTCGGAAGGTGACCGCTACAAACGTTAGGAGGATGCCCTCAAACTGCTAAAAACTACAAAAGCCTTCAAGACAACAGTTTGTGTAACATGCAAGTTTAACACATCATTGCTCCCAGTCATCCGATGTCTCAATATATGCTGCAGACAATCCCTTTCCAAAAAAGGCGTTTCAATGCCACTTCGGGCGATAGCTGCCGGGTGGTCCCGCGGAGCTGGCGAAATGGGACGCGATCCCATAGCTCCTCTTGGCTTTGGCCAAAGTATGTGGCGTGGCGTGCAAGCACGCCCCAAAAATCCTCCATTAGTCCCAATTCATCCCTCGTGTTGGCGCACAAGCGTTATTTTGACTTGCTTATGTTAGTGAGTCGTTTTACTGGTTTCTCAATTGCTTGGCTTTAATTTACCCCACTCCTGACAAAGTACTGTGTTGTTTACGACAACTGGCAGCGTACATGTTGAAAGCAGCTGCGCGTAGACTTGGTGCCAAACAAACTTTTAGTTTTGAATAACGTCATTTCTTGAGCATGAGATCTGAACGCAGAGTTTGTACAAGCACAGTGTCGACGGGACGCCGCGAGCAGCTGGAAAGAAGAAAGTGCCTTTCCAAAGTCGAGGTTTTTCAAGCGTCACTACAATAAAAAAGAAGACTCAGATCTTATATAATTGGGCACCTTAGTCTCTTAATCCAATCGTGCCCTAAGTTGTGCTGCGGAACAATGTGAAAAGCAGTTAAACCCATTCAGCATATTAAGCAATAACCGATGCCTAAGTCTATGGGTGCCTTTATATCATGCATGTGAAGAAGTGGAAATGTGTGGGGATTTAGATTGCTGCATTTAAGGGATTTAGATTGCTCTCCTCTCCGAGAAACGAGTGAGTCAGTTAGACGCACTCGGCTTTCCCATTCTCCGCTCTCTCATGCCCGAACAAATATGGTGTTATTGCGGAAACACCATACTCTGCATGTCTGAACGGGATTTCGTTTATTCAAGACTCGTGTCTCTCTTTCCTGCACGGTTCTGGGCATTGCAAAAACAGCACAGATGCTTTGGCGAACTGCATTCGAGCGAGGGCGGATGCAGAACATACGATAGAGGTAAGACTTAAGCAAAGTTTGCACTGAAAAATATTTTAGCTCGCCAGTATCCAGAGCAACCACTTGAAAACTGTACATCCACTTTGTCAGTGTTCCTTGGAAGGGACGGGGCTTGCACAAGAAGTTATGTCGATTTGGCTCTTCTTGAACAAAGTAAGCCTTATAAGCCTCCCCTCCCCCAGAAATAAAATACCAACAAATGCCAAACGACGAAATTGACATCTTTGTTCTTTTCTTCAGCTGACCACACTTTTGCATTACGGCCTTAGGTGTTATGATATTTGAATAACTTGCTACGGTCTTGAGTGCTCGCCTCCCACGCACTATTCGTTAGAGCCAAAACTTTGTCTGATGACGTCAGCGTGGGGGGATGATGCCTGACAAAAGGAGTCCAATCCTTTACAGCAGCAGAATGTGCCGTAAATGTTAAGAAACTATTTCTAAAAACTGATGCTTCTTCGGAGCATGTAGTCTCCTGTAGTCCCCATTTTCGTCAACACTGACATACTCATCAATATTTCGTGTACTTGTATTAAGTGGAGAATTCCGACTAAAAAAATATCGTGAACATAACTGCTAATTTCTAATAGCTGGCAACCTGTTTACTTGTACGTTTGTTTGGATTTCTTAACGTTTGGATGTTTCCGATATTTACTCTTAACGTTTAAGTCGAAGGCCCTGGCTGCTTTTGAAACATGAAGAACAGCCATGGCAAAATCAATACTTTCATAGCAATCATGCGTCTTCCATATGACGGGAGGCAAGCGGCCAAGCTACACGCACTGCATTACAATTAATTTGGAGCAGATTGATATATTTCTACTCCTTTTCCAGTTCATCGCAGAACGCAGTGTCCGTCCGTAAGGTTAGTGCACGATTTCACGTTGGAAACACGAGTCAACGTGTACGCACCGGTGACGAACATTTGTTACACATTTAATCCGGACCTTCCTGAACGGACGAATTTGAATTGAATGGATGAATTTATCGGAACAGAGCTCACGCTAAACAGTGCTTGTTGTGTAATCCCTGCCCCCCCGCTATCCGATTGGGCAAAGCCATGTCAACAGCAGATTTGGTGGCGGCGGTTTCACGGCCGCCATGCTCGGCATGGCCTGGCGTGCCCTCTGACGTCAGCTGGCCTTTCACGCGGCTGCTGCCACCGGCCGCAGGACTGAAGACGAGCGCATTCGGTTTGACCTCGGTATTGTAATGTTTAGAATGGAGTGTCCGGATATTTGGAATTTTTACATAGCTCAACTTCCTAGCATTTTTACATTTTTTGTTACAGTCAGCTATGAAGGAGCCATGATTGCCTCTCCCATTAACTCAGCGACGAACAGAGCCATACGTTAACACCGAAGACCATAAAGAACAGGTCGCGTCACTACCAGTTAACCCTCACCCTGGTAGGGGTGGTGATGCAACCCGCTAATAACTTGTTATGGTACTCTCCAGCATACCGTGCAATTGCGCCCAAATCTTTAGTAGCCCATGGGGGCATCCAGTGCGGGTGTTTTGACACCACAAAGGTGTTCCTACATTTCCTGGTTTCGAAGCAGCAGCCATTTTTGAGGAGCACTGCACGGTGATCTGCGGCCGGCGCTGGCGGCGGGCGGCAACCGGCGATACCGCGAAACGCGCGCGCTGGGCCGGCGCTGCCACATTAACGGAGTCATATATAATGTGTGCTCAAAACGTATAAAAGCATACGGCATTGTGCGCAAATTGAACAAAAACCACGCCCGCTCCAATTTCGTGCAGTCACAAGCCATGGTCTCGTAGGTGTAATGTTGTGAAGCTGAAAAGGTGTGATGTTCCGGGAAATTTGACCTTTGACATGACATAATGAAATCAATTATTAATCTAACAAACAACTAGTATCAACCGCGAGATCGCGCTGACAACAGTCCACTGGTGTGTTTTTTCATCTGGGCTTTATTATCACTAGTTTGGAAACGTCACGGGGTGGCATCCCCCCCCCCCTCCCACATCATCCGCGTTGTGAAAAACGGCGTATGAGGGTGAAAGCTGAGATAGAAATAAGAAACATTAAAAAGGTAAAACCTTGATCAAGGTAAGTGATCAAGGCCAATCATATATATCATAAAAG